GGGACACCAGGCCAGTTGGGTTCCCTCTCCAAGGCTAGTAAAACCCGGCTTCCCATTCGCAAACCCTACTGGGATGCTGGTGCGTCTGGGTTCCCAACGCTGCGAGGGAAGTCATAAAAGAAAGTAATAATAATAATGAAAATATTTCCATTCATATAAAAGTTTCACAAAACCTTACAGAAAAAAAAAAACCAAACCCCGAAGCCAGTGTCTGCAATCTTATAAAGTCGATTTAAACGCGGAACGAGCGCCTTCCCAGCCGGGGCTGATCCCGGACGGCTGCAGCCGCGCTGGGAAAAGCGAAACCCGGCCGCACGACCGGCTGCGAGCACGCAGCACACGTGCATCGCCGCGCGCGGACGGGAGGGCTCCGCAGCAGCCCAGCGCCGGCTTTTCATCTACTCCAGTTCAAACACATCCCCTCTTTTCAGGATTCTCCACACCCTGGTATCCGGAGGGTCCGATCAGGATCAGACCTTCCCCCAGGCAGGAAGACAGGGACCCTGTCAAGACCGTCACCGCGGAAGACACACCGCCCAGGCGAGGCAGAAAAGGATGGTGCTAGTTAAAAGGGGAGGGGAGGAGACCCCTCTAATGGCGATGAGCAACAGAAGCTGCACAAATGGATTGCTAATTACCATTTCAGACTCAAAAATCACTTCACTGAATAAGCACTCTGCCTGTCCCCCCCCCCTTTTTCTTCCATGCGCACCTTTCGCAGGACAAAGAAAAAGAAACAGAGAATTACAAATGGAGTAAAGAATCCCCCTGCCTTTAGCGGTACCATATGGCAATGAGAGTATATTAATTACCGTTGCTTTTTAATTAACAATTGCTTCATCTGAGCAGTAACATTGCCTTGACATCCCCCGGCTCGCTGCTAACCTGTACGGTGCACGCGCCATGCCAAGTCATCAATTCATTTTTATTGACACTCCCCTCCCAAACAGGCACGATACCAGGGTTTTCCAATTAACACCTCCACACTCTCTAATTAGCACAATTAACAGACTGATGGATGCCAAGAGCTGCCCTGCCAGGGAGGGTGCGGATCAGCTGTCGGACAGGGCTCCCGCCGCGAGCACATGTGCCCGACACACGCGTGTGCCGCCCTGCCCGGGGTCCCACCGG